CCGGGCTTCTATGTGGTTTTTCTGGTTAGGGTTTGGGGGTTGGCTGAGGGAAGAAGGCTTATTTTAGTGGTGCAAATAAGCATCCTGTTCAGGGCCTGTCGTTCCTAACTGGTGGTGGTGGTGGCTCTGTGGAAAAGCACTCTGTGAGAGAAAAGAGCCTGCTGAGGTGACCTCTCCAGTATTACCTCAGGGGCTATTTTCTCGTATTTGAGAGCCAACTTGACTTTATATATCTATGTTGTCCACACATCATATTTACCTTATTAAATACTTTATTTTCTGTGAAATAAACCTTTGCTGTTTGTCTCCATCTGCGTTTTGTCTGTCAAATCAAAGGAGCAGTGATCTCTATTTCACCTCACATATAAGTACACATATAAGTATAAGTATTAGTCTAGCAGGGTCGTTGTTGTGTCCGCTGACCGCCACCAGGGGCCAGCAAATATCTCAGAGCTTGACTCTGGAAGAACAATGGGGCCTAGGCTCCTGGTCCCTCCACTGGGGGACCAATGGGACTGTGGCAGGAGATTTAAACCCACCAACGGGACCTGGGGGTGTGTCCCCAGGTATGTACATAGTTGTCCAGCCGGCCGTTAGTCTTGTCATTGTGGTGTACCTGCAAGGCGTGCAGGGTAGCATGCGAGCCGCAGCGGGCCTTCCATGCGGTTAACCCACTACCCAATAGTCGTAAATAAGAAACCTTTAGGGAACACACAGCTTACATGCTACCAATCTTTATTTTAAAACTTGTGTCCCCCTTTATACTTTGTCTGTAGGTGGTTGGGGTATAAAGAATCTATAGGAGAGCCCAGAGAGGTGGATTTGATATTCTTCAGCCCAGAGAAGGCAATTGCCTCAGAGCCTCCCCCTGCTATCTCGTAGCTGCCACAATCACCAGTTAGGATATCTTGACAAGTTGATGAGTAATTGTTGTGGCCTACATCCCGTTGTTCCGTCTCGGCACACCCTTTTTGCCAGAGGTTGTGGGGCCAAAGCCCAAAGTCTCCAAGAACTACCGATACCTTAACGCACTGCACTTTTTCCCGGCAAGGCCAGGGCTTGATGCATCGGGGCCACTTGCTTTTCTGAGGCCAACACGTCGGGATCTCGATTGCTGGAACCAGCTCAACCTCCACCTGGAAATCGGAAGTCTCCACAGTGACACGGACCACAGAGCCGAAACCTTCCGCAATACTGACTTTGTCTGGGAGAAGTGACATCAACAGGACCTGGATTATTATTATGATTATTACTATTACTATTATTACAAAATTTGGATCCCACCTTTCTGCCTTTACAAGGGTAGCCAAGATGGCTAACAAAATAGACATGAAGAAGAAGAAGAAGAGATTGGATTTATACCCCGCCCTTCACTACCCGAAGGTGTCTCAGAGCGGCTTACAAACTCCTTTCCCTTCCCCTCCCCACAACAGACAACCTGTGATGTAAAAGAAGAAGAGGAAGAGATTGGATTTATACCCCGCCCTTCACTACCCGAAGGTGTCTCAGAGCGGCTTACAAACTCCTTTCCCTTCCCCTCCCCACAACAGACACCCTGTGAGGGAGGTGGGGCTGAGAAGAACTCTTAACAGAAACTGCTCTTTTTTCAAGAACAGCTCTTATCAGAACTACGGCTTGCCCAAGGGCATCCAGCCAGGTGCAAATGGAGGAGTGGGGAATCAAACCCGGCTCTCCCAGATTAGAGTCCGTGCACTTAACCACTACACCAGACTGGCTCTCTTGATAAAAGTTTCCGAGGGTAACCATGTCGTTTTGCAGTAAAACAGCTAGATTCGAGTCCAGTGGCTCCTTAGAGGCCAACAAGATTTTCAGAGAGTGAGTTTTCATGAGTCAAAGCTCTTTCTCTCTGATGTTTTCCGCAGGGACGGCTCTCCCCGTGCCTGCACCACTTCCCCTCATTTCTGCAGTCCCAGGTGCAAAAACATAGTTTTGTCCCCTCTTGCTCTGCAACATCAGACTTCCCTGTTTCCGGGAATGCCCACTCTGTGCCACAAGAGGGGATGAACTGCGTTTTTGCTCCTCGGACTGCAAAAACATCTGTGGAAATGACGGAAAGCAGAGAAGGAATACAAGCGCAGGCACGGGGAGAGCTGTCCCTGCGGAAAATGTCTCTGTCCGATGAAGGAGCTCTGACTCTCAGAAGCTCCCACTCTGAAAAATCTGGATGTTCTCTAAGGTGCGAATGGACTAAAATCTAGCTGTTGTACACAATATAGAATTACATTATAAAAGCATTAAAATCAACCCCCCCCTCCTAAACATACATCATTAAAACAATTCTTATAAGAGTTTTAAAATAGAGTTAAAATACATACAAAAGATAAAAACTTTGGTTAGGAAGGATGGATTGTGGAGGGAATGCCAAATGAAACAAAAAAGTCTTCACTCGCTGGCGGAAGACAGCAACAGATGGGGAGGGATGAATCTCCCTGGGTAGCGAGTTCCAGAGCTTCGGTGCCCTGACTGAGAAGGCCTTCTCCCAAGGCATAGGGCTGACAGTTTGGTGTAGTGGTTAAGTGCGTGGACTCTAATCTGGGAGAACCGGGTTTGATTCCCCACTCCTCCGCTTGCACCTGGCTGGATGACCTTGGGCAAGCCATAGTTCTGATAAGAGCTATCCTTGAAAAAGAGCAGTTTCTGTCAAGAGCTCTCCCAGCCCCACCTACCTCACAGGGTGTCTGTTGTGGGGAGGGGAAGGGAGAGGAGTTTGTAAGCCACTCTGAGACACCTTTGGGTACCTTCTGCTGGCAGGGGGCTCCATCCTTCTTCCTGGGATCTTCATTGTCATGCCGGGCACATCATTCAGGGGGCGCTCTAGCATTTGGCCAAAAACTCTATGATCATCATGGAGTTTTTAGTCAATGCTAGAGTATCCCCACACGACATGCTTGGCGCGATGATGTCACCTCTGGGTGACGTCATTGCACTGGGCACGTCTGGCATGGTGGGGCTCTTTGGGGTGGGGCTCCCCCCACTGGACAGCTGGCTGGCAGTGGATTGCGGCCCTCCGGAACCCCACCCCCATCGGGGGAGATGGCAACCCTACCAAAGCAGGCCCTCTGAAGATGACTGTAATGGCTGGGCAGGTTCATGAGGGACTAGGCGGTCCTTCAGGAATGGTGGTCCCAAACTATACAGGGCTTTGAAGGTCAACAGCAGCACCTAGAATTATGCCCAGAAACAATCTGGGAGCCAGTGGAGATGGGCCAATAATGGCGTGATATGGTCCCTACAATCCACTCTACTCAACATCCTGGCTGCAGCATTTTATAAGCCAAAACAGCTCCCCCCCCCCAATGCTTGATAGGTGATATACAATGCAATCCTAAGGCCCTGGTCACACGGGCCGGATATCGCGGGGGGAGGCGTGGCTAATTGCCCCGGTGCAGTTTGATCCGTGATTACATGATCAGATGCACCGGCGGCACACCACGGATCCTTCCCTCGGCGTCGGTGGGTAAACGAGGGTGGCGATCACACGATGATCCTGCAGCGCGGCAAAGAAGCGGCAGGGCGCGATCACACCAGCAATGGCTAGGCGTCGCTGCCATGGTAAATGGGGTCATTTATTTTCTTTTAAGCCGAAGGACGGAGGAGTGGAACTTTTGGTTTCGCGTTCAACGGCGTGCGCAATTTTGCGCAGCAATGGAACTTTCACTTTCCTCTTCGTGCGCATGCGCTGTTGGGTGCTTGTGCACATCCTGTGGAGACTTGAGGGAAAAAACCCTGTTTGTGACAGGACATGGGCGGGTGCCGGATGCCACGAACTACCACCGGAAACGCGATCAGACGCCAGCCCTTGCCTCGCGGTTTCCGGAAACTAATACCTCGGAGGTACTAGTTTTTTATGGCACATCTTCGGTGGGAAGCCTCGAGTTCACCATGGGAGCTCTACACTTCCCAGATGTTGCGGTTTGATCACACCCGGAAAATCCGCCTATCTTCTGTCTCTGTAGCGTGGCTCCATGTGACCACAGCCTAAATATAGTTACACCCTTCTAAGTCCATTGACTTTATTTATTTATTCAATTTATAGACCGCCCTGCCTCGCATATGGGCTTTGAAAGGTCTAACTCTGCACATGATGACACTCAACATATCTGATAATGAGTCCCCCGGTCCAAAACAGTCCAGTGGCACCTTTAAGACCAAGTTTTATTCAGGTACAAGCTCTCCCTCCTCTGCGAGAGCAGATCTGCACGTCCCCCCCCAATAGCTAGCAATCCCAAACAGTCCAGTGGAGCCTGAGCGGTGGGTAACAGACATCCGGTGATGTCAGGGTGTGTGTCATATGCAAATAAGTTATGCTAATGAGTTATGCTAATGAGCTCCTGCTCCTCTTTTTCTACAAAATGACCCCTGCTTGGATGGGAGACTTCCCTGGAATACCAAATCTGGAAGACAGAGGTGGGTTTTTTTAAGCCACCACTCTGAATAGCCTCCAGGCCCCCAATAGGTGTCAGTCACCAGTGGTCAACCTGAATTCCAGGTGCAGACACATACACACACCCCCCATACTTAAATAAATAAATAAATAAATAAATAAATAAAAAGGCAATCAGCCACTTCCTTTTTGAATATACCACTGGGGCAGAATCTGGCCATCTTAAAGGCCGTTTTGTTTGGACAACCTGACAGGAACAGGGACCTGTAAAATTCAGCAGGTCTGCCTCGAAAATTTGATAAGGAATGATAAGATTGGAGTTCTGTATAGAGACCGAATGACCCTACACAGAGGACAGTTTATACCCCAGTAGTACCTTAAAGACCAGCAAGATTTTCCAGGGTACAAGCTTTCAAGAGTCGAAGAAGAAGAAGAGGAGGAGGAGGAGGAGGAGGAGGAGGAGGAGGAGGAGAATGGATTTATACCCCGCCCTTCACTACCCAAGGGAGTCTCAGAGCGGCTTACAAACTCCTCTCCCTTCCCCTCCCCACAACAGACACCCTGTTAGGTAGGTGGGCCTGAGAGAGCTCTTGACAGAAACGGCTCTTTTTCAAGAACAGCCCTGCCAGAACTATGGCTTGCCCAAGGTCATTAAGCAGCTGCATGTGGAGGAGTGGGGAATCAAACCCGGCTCTCCCAGGTTAGAGTCTGCGAACTTAACCAGTACACCAAACCACTACACCCTTGTGTTGTGGCAACAGCTGCAGCCAAAGCAACATTTTTTAAAAAATTGCACAGCCAGTCAGAAGCCTGACTGTCCTTGCCCACTTTCTAAGAACACTCAATAAGCACCCAGGAAAGGTGTCAGTAGCACCATGGCACCCACAGTCGCCACGTTGGGGACCCCTGTTCTAGTCCGACACTCTAACGGCTGTGCCATACTGGCTTCCAGAACTGTCCCAGAGACAGGGGGAGGCCCAAAGCAGTTGAGGACGAGAACGTGCTGCTGCATCGTTTGCCGTGGCTCTTTCCACGGCAGACTCACCCGTGAGACTGCAACTGTGGATCGATTTCTCCACGAGGTTTCGGAAGACGGCGAGAACTCCGGCGGGCACGAGGTCGCCCTCGATGTTGACGTCTTCCCCATGCCACTGGGGGAGGCTCTTGGAGAACTGCTCCACTTCCAGCCACTGTTGCAGCTCCTCCGGATCCCTGATGGGAGACAGGAGCTTTGTGCCGTGCACCGTGTAGTAACGCCAGTGCCGCACTTGGCGCTCTTTGTAGCCCGTCAAGCCAACCAACGGGACAGTGACCAGGAACTGGCTGGGTGCTAGGACCTGGGGGAACGCAGAAAGGGAGTGGGAGAAGAAACAATCAAACAGAGGCTTTTAGATATTGAGTTTCAAAAACTGCAGCCCTTTCATCCCCCTGTCTGCTCTTCAGCTTCATTAAATCTTAAGAATGATGTGGGATGTATTCCCCAGTATCTGTATAATTTGGATAGTCCTAGCCATCGAAGAGCTTTTTCCCTTGCTCGAGTAAATGCCTTCCCATCAAAACTACTGTATGGTAGGTTTCATAATATTCCTAAGTACAAATGGAGATGTGACTGTGGTTCAAGCTCTCTTGATTCAATTGATCACATACTGCTAGACTGTTCGTTGCATGTATCTGCTAGGGAAAAATGGTTAAACTCTTGGTTGCATGGTAAATATCACCTTTCTAATGAAAGAAAATGTCAAATTCTATTGAATGATACAACAGCAGAGATTACAGTGGCAGTGGCTAATTTTTTAGTCGATGTGATAAGAGTGAAAAATTTGGGAAACTCCGTTTCATGATTTTATAATTATTTCAGTTTTTTAGTTGACTGTGTCATCTTCTGTTTCTGAATTTAATGCTATATATGCTATTAAAGGTTTATTTATTATTATTGAGAAGAAACAGGAAGAGTGATCCGCGAGACAGAGAGGCGAAAGGGACAGAAGCAACAGTCCAGCATGGGCAGATCCTTATCCAAGGGCCCTGCATCCCAAAGGCACATCTTGGCACACATTGGCCCAATCTGCATCTAGCATTTGCTCCATTGTTTTACCAAACCCCCACTGGAACAGGAAAAGATGCGGCTCAAAACCACATTCAAATACCCCAGGGGCCAACCGCCCCACTGACTGCAGAGTCACCCCTAAATGGCCGTAAAATGGCCATAAATCTATGCAGACAGCCACCATGAAACCGAGAGATCAAACGAAGTGAAAGCGACAGGCAGTCTGGACCAATGCTCCCTCCAAGCTGTGGAGTCTTGTGAGCAAAAATTCTACTTTGTGAGTGACTAGCATTAAAGTTGTGACGGTGCAATTTGGCTGCTGCATAAATTAATTTGCTTTGGAGCCGTCCTTCCGGAGCCGAGACAAAAATGTGTGAGCCGGAGGCTAAAAAACTGAGCTAGCTCAAACTAACTCAGCTTAGAGGGAACACTGGTCTGGACCAATGCTCCCTTCAAGCTGTGGAGTCCTGTGAGCAAAAATCCGACTTTGTGAGCTGCTGGCATTGAAGTTGTGAGCAAGTGATTTGGCTGCTACATAAATTAGTTTGCTCTGGAGCCATCCTTCCTGAGCGAAGACAGAAATGTGTGAGCCGGAGGCTAAAAAAACTGTGAGCTAGCTCACACTAACTCAGCTTAGAGGGAACACTGACACGTCCATAAAATCTGACGATCAATCAAATGGCTCTCCCACATTCTCATTTTTGTCCCTCGTTTGTCCCTATCACTTTGGGTCATCCCCCCCCCTTTCCCAGATGTGTTTTGCTCCCTTTGGGACTACTAGAGAGAGCAAAACACAATGTGGGGGGCGGGACCCTGAAGCCATAGGAAGACATAAGTGATGAAAATCAGAATGCGGAAGAGACCAAAGTGAAAGTGGCATGCGATGTAGAGGAGGATTTCTGTTCCAAACGTGGGTTTGGTAAGACAGCGGAGCGAATGCTAGATGCGGATCCGGCCACTCTCGTGTTTGACAGCACTCAATGCACTTCTTGCACACCCTCCAGCAACTTGGCAGAATCCTTATCCTCGTATTACAAATGGAGTGGGGAAGGAGTGGGCATAGGTTGCCAACCTCCGGGTGGGGCCTCGATATCTCCTGGAATTACAGCTGGTCTCCAGACGACAGAGATCAGTTCCTGCAGAGGAAATGGCTGCTTTGGAGGGCGGACTCTCTGGCATTCTAACCCACATGGATGGACTGGAGAGGCAGCGGTGCACACTGGGCAGATTCTCGCACGCTGCTTGACTGTCACAGACGAGGTTGTTCCACCATGCTGAAGCCATAATCAGAGTGGCTCCGCCCACTCCCCTCCCCGAGCAGTCTCCTGTTCCCTCCCTTGGACTAGTTGCTCACGGTTCACATAAGAGCCCCAGACAGGCCGGCTCTGCCCCCCGGGCCTTATGTTTGACACCCCTGTCCTAAACCATAATGAAGGTAGAAGGAACTAGAGACCATCCCATCCAAACTGCCCTGCTCTGAGAAAGGTTTTTTTTTTTTTAATGCTCCACAATATTTCATGACTAAAGGTGCTCAAACGCAGGGCCAAGGGCACTATAAATTTCAAACAAATGTCCCAAGGGTCATATTCCCCTTGGTGGTGAATCCCTACAACAGAGGATGGCCTGAACCAATGCCTCCAATGATAGCTGGCAACCTAATGCTGGACTCGTAGAAAAGAGAATGAGTCCCATCAGTGGAATGGTATTCTGATATCTATTCCGACCAGGGGTCATTTCGTAGAACAAGAGGTGCGGGAGCTCATTAGCATAACTCATTAGCATAACTTATTTGCATATGCCACACCCCCTGACATCACCGGGAGTGTGTCAGGAGGCAACACCCACCGCTCAGGCTCTACTGGACTGTTTTGGATTGCTAGCTATTGGGGGGGAGGGGGAACATGCAGATCTGTCCTCGCAGAGGAGGGAGAGCTTGTACCTGAATAAAACTTGGTCTTAAAGGTGCCACTGGACTGTTTTGGACTGGGGGGGCGGGGGGTGGCTCTGCAACTCACCTGGCTGCTTCTTGCTCTGACTAAGGGCTGCTGGGAGCAGGGGGGGGGCTTGTTGCATGTGCCCGCCCCCTGGGCTCTTTACTGCTGGAGCTCCGCTCCTGTGTGCTCCTGCAGGAAGTGACCCCTGATTCTGACTCCTATTCCCCCCCCCCAGACACCGACAGCAGGGCGCCTCTCCACTGCTGCCTTCCCCAGTTACCACCAGTTGAACCTCACACACCGAGGCTGAAAAGAACTTATTTAAGTGCACTGGAAATCATCTACCCAGCGGCAGGCGAGATGGCATTTGGCAATGGCCACGGATACAGGCAGAGAAGGCAGTCTCTGGGCGGGCGGGCAGCAGTATGCCCAGCGGGGCATCTCTTTGCAGACTCCCCCCCCCCACGTGCCCCCCACAGCCTGCTCTGAAGCTGATGCAAGGGGACGGATTGCCAAGAGAAGAGAAACACCCGCAAAGGTGTCCCGCCTTTCCTCTTGGGGTTCAAGGAGGCTGGCAACACCCCCAGCTTAAACCGAAGAAAAAATAGCAAGCCTCAAATCCCTCCCCCATTCCCCACCCTTCACAGACGCTTGCCATTCACAGACGCCCCCCCCAAAAAAAGCCCTGGCAAACAGGAAGGCCTAGTGGCATCTCCTGGAGATCTCCAAGGAGAGGGGAAACCCACACCTCTTCAGGGAGCCCACGATGGAAAAGGCTGGGGCTCTGGTCAACACCAGGCAGGCCACCCCTGAGACGTCTGCCTGATGACTGCAGTTGGTGCACAGGGGAAGAAGAAGAGGAGGAGACTGGATTTATAACGCCGCCCTTCACTACCCAAAGGAGTCTCAGAGCAGCTCACAACCTCCTTTCCCTTCCCCTCCCCACAACAGACACCCTGTGGAGTAGGTGGGACTCAGAGAGCTCTGACAGGAACAGCTCCTGAGAGAACAGCTCTGAGAGAACTTGTGACTGACCCACGGTCACCCCAGCAGCTGCATGTGGAAAAGTGAGGACTCAACCCCGGTTCTCCCAGATTAGAGTCCACAACACCAACCTGGCTCTCAGTCCTTCCAATAGGTGGGTCCCAGGCTGTGAAATAGGGTTGCCAGGTCCTACCTTTCTGTCGGCGGGGGATCCTGGAAGTGATGTCATTGCATCACTGACGTCAGGGGCAATGCTCTAGTTTTTGGGCAAACTCTATGGTTTGTAGCCAATTTTACCATAGACTTTTGCCCAAAAGCTAGAACGTCACCCCTGACGTCAGTGCCGTGGTGACGTCACTTCTGGGTGATGTTATCGCACTGTGTTTTGGGGCATTTGCGGGCGGGGTTTCCCTGGCGGCGGGGAGGAGCCCTCAAAGTTGGGGGGAAACCCTCCTGGAGTGGGGCCTGGCAACCCTATTGCGACAGGCTCTTAAGGTCTAGACCCGGACTTTGAATTTAATTCGGAAACAGACTGGCGGGCAAGAGGAGATGACTCCGTGTGCTCCTTCACCGCTCAGGAGGTTAAGATCTCCTCAGCCCCTTACCTTCAGGTTTTCATGATGAACACCAGAGACAGAGATGGCCTGGAAACGGGAGTCCTTTTTGCTAATTTCAGCCGTCAACCGCTGGATTATTTGCTGCACCTCAGCCACGGCTGTGGACACTGCACAGTGCCTCAGGTCCACCTGCGGGCATAAGCCAATGTTTCTGTCACACTGCCGCAAATGGCCCCAAACCACTCGCCAGAGCCTTTGAACCAGTCAGGGATCCCCTAGATACATGTAGACCCAGGAATTATGGGATGTGTGTATGTGTGTGGGGTTGCCAGCCTCCAGGTGGGACCTGGAGATCTCCTGGAATCTCCAGGCAAAAGAGATCAATTCCCCTGGTGAAAATGGCTGCTTTGGATGGTGGAGTCTATGGCATTATACCTCATGGAGGTCCTGCTCCCCCAAACCCCTTCCTCCCCAAGCTCCACTCCCAAAACCTCCAGGTATTTCCTGACCTAGAGCTCGCAACCCTCGAACACATGGGAAAAGGGTCTCTGCCTGGCTGCCTGGCTGCTTTCCTTGGCCGTGCAACTGAGAATGAACAGAAAGGGGGTGGGCCCCTGCAGCATGAAAAGTCAAAACATGTAGTGAAAGTCCACAGAAGAAACAACATGAAAGTGTGGAATTAGAAGTATGCAAGAAATTAAGTGCTTTCTGTCATCCAGGTTTAAACAGAGACTTGGGTTTCCTGGCTCACTTTCCCATAACTCAACAGCAGCCACTATTTATACACATGTTGACTGTTCTTAACATTGTATGCCAATAAAGGTTATTGGAATTGGACTGTTCTTAACATGGTGTATTTTACAAGAACCTTTTACTGATACTTTGGACTGCTTCTTCGATGAGATGCTATTTATCTTACCTCGTTATATTTTTGTTTATCCTCACGAAAGAGAGAGGCTAAAACCTCTAACATTGGTCATCATTCATTATGTTTCACAATCTAATCAGTTCCAGTAGAAAACAGCAGGAGTCCAGGAGCACCTTAAAGATTAACAACATTTGTGGCAGGGGAGGAGCTTTCATGAGTCACGGCTTACTTCTTAAATACAGCTAGAATGTGAGCCCATCTGTCCTATATATTGGAAAATGGAGTGATTTCAGATGCCAAATGACATTAGCAGGCAAAGGACAATAGCAGGTGTGATTGGATTAGGTGTGATATGCAGAGGGGTAGTCGGCATGGAGAAGTCAGCATTGGGGTTTTTTTAAAATAGAAATTTTATTAACTTTCAATAACACAAAGATACAAACCGTTATACACAGAAAAGTAAGGGTTGGTTTGTTGTTGTTCAGTCGCACAGTCGAGTCCGACTCTTCGCGACCCCATGGACCAGATCCCGCCAGGCCCTCCTGTCTTCCGCTCGATTACACTGTCCAACCATCTCATCCTTTGCCGTCCCCGTCTTCTTTGACCTTCAATCTTTCCCAGCATTAGGGTCTTCTCTAGTGAGTGCTCCCTTCTCATTTGGTGGCCAAAGTATTTAAGCTTCAGTTTCATTATCTGGCCTTCCAGGGAACAGTCAGGGTTGATTTCTTTTAGGATTGACTGATTTGATCTTCTTGCAGTCCAAGGGACTCTCAAGAGTCTTC